GCACAATGAACACAGTTCCTACTTTAACACATTTCTAAATCTGATGGATGACCAGTATTGTCTCATATCCCTTTCCTTGACCATATCCAATGCAATATTAGTAAAGCTGCAAAGACAGCAGGTGGGTCATTGCTGATAAAGTAAAGTTCACTGGTATACAAGCAAGTAGATAAAGCTAACTCCTTCCAGGTTCAATTGGTGGAGGGAGAAGACATACTTGATAATGCTACCCTTTCCAGATACTCATTTTTTTTTTTTAATAACCTTTTAGTGTTTCTATATCATACTATCTGCTGTTTTGTTGGATTTTGCTCTTCCTCCCAACCTCTAAATGGGTGAATACCCAGAGTACTGTCAAAGGACCTGGCTTCCTTGGAAACTGATAGCTTATTTAGAATAAGTGTTTGGAACTTAAGTGAAAGGCCAAGGCTACAGATAAGGACATGATATCCATCATCTTATGAATTTACCAGTCTTCTGAAACTCCTTATCTGAGCTATAAACCTTGCTTTTCTAACTGTGCTAGACATGGCTAAAATTATGATGTCAGTAGACTGTGACCATTTGTGTTCTGGCCTTTGTCTCACCAATGTTTTTAGAACTGCACTGTTTTTTACAAGTAGTCACTATTGAGATTTAATTTAAATGTACAGGAGAAGCATTCATAAATTTAATTATTTTATTATATAATGATTATTAATTTAACTTTATTATAGTAATATGACACCCTCTTAATGATTTATATAGATTTTCTCATTTATATTCTTATACTACTATTTTCCCCATTTTATAGATAAGAAAACAAGTCTTAGAGAGATATAATAACTTGTTCAATGTCATGTATCTAACTGCCAGGAGACATGAAGAAGAAGAATCACGTAATATTTAAGACATACACCATTCTCACACATATCCAAACTGGGCATTTCTAAACCTTCCCTAGACACATACTTCCCCCAACATATACATTTCATCTCTCCTTGATAGTTCTGTAAGATTCTCAGTCTCCATGGGGAACTTCTGATCTGCTTTTCTCTCAACATCTAGCCCATCTCTTCAAGATCAAAAGAGATAGAAAATGCAATGCAAATTCTGACAAATATTATAAAAGAGTAAAATTATATCTTACCTTATTTATAAATTTTTTTTACCTATGTGACACTCCATCTTAAAGTCAATGATAGGAAAAAGATTAGAAGTGGGGGAAAATCCCTTAGACTCCCCTTTTGTGCTTTGTGAGCACTGTTTTATAAAGCCCAGAGAGCCCTTAGGGATGACAACAAGCAAGAGCTCTTTGGAGAATAACACCATACTTCATGGAAAATCTTGTAAAGGGTTGACTCAAGGGACACTGATCTAGTACTGAACTCATAATGCAGGTTCAGGCTGAGGAAACTGAGTTTGATAAGATCTTGGATGCCATATTTAAATTCAACAGCTATTCATCAAATCTTGCTCTTGGCTCATTTGCCAGCACATCTTGGGAGGAGTCAGCTAAGAGTCTAGAATCCCAAGTTCTGAATGAGATCAGGATATCAATATTGTGTATTAATTTTCTCCTAACTTGAAATTATATACCTCTATTTATATGTTTATAATGACCATTTGTGTTTCCTGTTATTGAAGCATCTGTTTAAGTCTTGTTCATTTTCTATTGAGTTATCTGTCTTTCCCAAATTGATTTGCAAAAGCTTTGTTTGTTTTGTCTTTATAAATGTAAGCTAAGCCATTTGTTGGTTATGCGTAGCATATATGTTTTCCGACTTTATTGCTTATTGTTTTAGTCTCTTAATCAATCCTGTTTATTCAATCAATGGAGTCAGCCATGTTAGTCTATGTAGATTTATAATATATTTACTTTGCAGGCAGGAGATTCGCTTTGGAACAAATATGAGCAAACCGTAGTCCAGCTACCACATGTAGCTAGCCTGTCTTTAGAGTAAAAATTATATCTAATTTATTTAATATATTAATCTTATAATCTAATTAGAGATATGAAAATTAGAGAGAAAATAATTCACTATGGACTTTTACTTTTTGTCTGTAATTCTTGTAAGCCTTCCAACCACCATTAATACACAATCACACATAAGTTATCATACATTTGACAATAAACAATAACTTGAGTGAAATGCTTCTTAATGCGGAAAAATCACCTTAAAATTTTGTTAAAATAAATATTTTAATTCAATATATCTTGAGTGGATCACAAATTACTATATTGTTTAACAAGCTTCTAGTGATGCTTCTGTTGGTGGCCCAAGGAGACATGTTGATCAGTTGGTCAGTCTTCTATTACATGGTTTTGGTAGAAGGAAGTCAATCTGTCAGTCATGTTGGATTTGCTTGAGAGTGATTAGTTTTGCCTAGAAAAAAGAAAAAATGTAAAGATAATAATCAAGTCTTTTTTTCTTTTTTAACTTAAAAGTAAAAGTCTAATAAGACTGCTGCCAAAAGGAGATAGAAATTATCTATCTTCAATTAAATTCACTAAAGAGTGTTTTTGCTGTGTTATAAAATGACAATGCAGTTTGTCTTACATTTTTAAATTTAGTACTAATTTTTGCAATTATGCCTTATTTATTTTTTCTTTCTTTCTTTCTTTCTTTCTTTCTTTCTTTCTTTCTTTCTTTCTTTCTTTCTTTCTTTCTTTCTTTCTTTCTTTCTTTCTT